CTGCAGCCACTCCACAATTTGCCATAGCCCCCCCAACCTCCCTCCTAGCGCCACTGATGCCCACCTTGAACACAGCCCAGCCCAACACCCTTGCTGGGAACAGCCCGGCGCTGCCTCAGCTCCAGCCTGCAGCAGCAGTCCTGCCTTGCCCCAGGTGCAGATCTTGGGGCACACCCCCATGCCCTCCTGGGGGTACACAAAGTGGTGGGAGCTGCACCCCGCCGCATGTGATTCAGTCCCATGCCATGCCCCAGCTGGGCAGCTCCTGCCCTTGCCCCATCCACACTCCCTCCCCCACTGCTGGGGCCTTGATCTGCCCCCCTCCTCCCCCCACCCCTTCCCTCATAACAGACTTACCAGCCAGACCCGGCTGCTCTGCATGGTGCCAGGCTGCACTCCTGGCCACCTGCGTGCTGTGCTGCGGCTGCATGCACACGGCACGTATCAGCTATGTTATCAGCCACATCAGTTCTGCATCCTCCCTACGACCTTTTTAAGTACCCCTAGGGGTAAGTGTACCCCCGGCTGACAACCACTGTCTTATGGTATAGATAATTACAGCAAATAGCTACATAAGAGAGATGGGCTGCTCCAGCTCTTTAGTGCTGCTTTTATTTCGAAGAGGACTACTTTTTCTATCAGCTTCATGGGAATGCTGATATGCTTAAGCTGAGTGGAGAAGTGGTACCATTTGAAGTAGACTTCACAGAAGACAGCTAAGCAGCTCGATCTTAATTTAAGAATCCACTCTGAAAAGTGGGTTGTGAACATATGGAAACAAATAATCGTGGTTCTACTGAACAAATATCCCCACAGACATGCTTTCAGTACAAGCACGATTCCTCCCATTCTCATTAGAGATGGGCCAAAACTAACACCAGAAATCTGAATGCCCTTCAAGCCTTTATGAAATTTTCCTCTATATCCAAGTCCTAACTTTGTAACTTGGTTCCATCTAATTCCTTTGCTGCTGCATGCACCAAGAAACAAAGTTACAGTTTTGCAAACTAAATCTAAGAAATCTGTACATTTAATAAAAATGAATTTTCTTATGACTGGTTAGATGACATTAAAAGGCTTTCACCAGAATTAGCAGCACATGTTAGCTTGTGCTAACTTGGTAGAAATATGAGTTGCAGATCACACAGTGAAACTATTGTTTCAGATATAGCTATAGGTTTCAGCTGCAAATTCTTTTTACTCAAGTTTTCTAGGTTGCAAAACTCTGAGACTGTTTCTAGTTTTTCAGGGCATTTATACATGTGCTCCGCGAGTTGGGGGGGCACATTAATTAGAGCAGCTCTCAGACTAAAGCTCATTGAACGAGCTTTATTTAAAGTGCCCCTGCCACCATTTTTCAGCATGGGGATGCTGATACACGTGATGCTGCTGTCTGTTGGAGTGCAGTAATTACCATGCCCCAGCAGACTCGATTAATAGTCTGCTCCAATGTGCTTGTAATTGTGCATCAGAGCAGCCTTGCTGTATATGTATAGGCACCCTCAGGTACTAGCTAAGGTATCCTGTTTTAGGGCACTAGTTCCACTCGTGAA